TCAATATAAGCAGCATCTCCAGCACACACACCTAGTGGGTTTCTTTGTGCCCATTAGCACTCCCAACTACTCCATTCCTCAACCCCCACTCCAACTCCCAAAAATGTACAACTTAAATTTCTAGTCCAACTCATTTTTTTTTAAAGTCACTATCCCTGCCACATTCCCCAGAGCTCTACAAAGTACAATTTCACATCTGCGAAGCTTAATATTTGGGGAAAGAAGACACATATGCAAATAAAAAGTTCTGGCCAGAATCTGGTAAAGGACATAAAATGTGCCCAAAAGATGCAATATGGGAGATTGGAGCAGAAGCAACCATAGAGTTTGGAATGTTTGCTTTGATTTTGAGGGACACTGGACATTTAATAGGTAAAGATACTAACAAAAATTAGTACAAATTTCTCATGAATGTGTTTTTCTATTCCTTAAATAATAACCCAGTTTTGTATAACAGCAAAGGTTGCCTAAAAGAGAAAATAAGACCCAGCTTAAAAATTGAGTTTGGGGTGGGGTGAAATTTAAATGTTCTGATAAAAACTATATTTTGTAGACAGTAGGAGTTTCCAAACTTTTCAAACATATTGGTGCCATGATTAGTCTTGTTTCACAAAGTTGACCTAGGGAGGTGTTGGGTCAATGTTGTGACATAGTGGGTTAAGCTACCACCTGCAACATCAGCATCCCATATTGCCAGTTCCAGTCCTGGTCATTCTGCTTCTGATCAACTCCCTGCTAGTTTTACTAGGAAAGCAGCAGAAGGTGGCCCAAGTACTTGGGACCCTGCCTCCCATGTGAGAGACCAGGATGGAGTCTTCAGCATGGCCCATACTTAGCTGTGTTGGCCATTTGGAGAGTAAACCAGTAGATGGAAGATTCTGTCTCTCCCTCTCTTTCTCTCTGTCATTCTGCATTTTGATAGCTGAAGGTCACGAGACATGATTAAGGACCCTGGATGGTGGAAACTGGGCATCAGGAAGGGAGGCTCAACAGCTAGCGAGGAGTAGAAGAGCCCAAAATCACACTTGGGTTTCAATGCTATGTAAAGTGACTGTTGGGTCATGCCAACCAGAAGGATCAGATTGGCAGAGAGGCCCAAGAGAGAAGTGCAAACCTGGTTTTAAAGCCTTATCTTCCAGAAGACCAACCTTTTACAGAGATGGCATGGGAGGTGGGGGTGGCAACAATTCCAGAGGAGGAGTGCGGAGTGGGGCAACAACAATTTCAGTACCTCCCGCAGTCCCTCTAATATCCTGCCTCTTGCAGAATCTAAGGGGCAGAGCATTCTACAATTCCTTCGTCATTTTTTTTAGCTAAAGATCTAAGGGCTTTGTCCTGAGAGAGCAACAGAGGCTGAGGAGAGGAGGAAAAGAAGGAGGCAGAGACCTACCTTAACTAGGTGTACACAAACCTGTGAAACCGGTTCATTTATTCTATGTCCAACTTTCTTTGTCAAAATTATTAAAACTCCAATTGTTTTCATGACGAAATAACTCAGATACTGAAGCTACCACACAGAGTTCTGCAATCATGATTTCTAATCTTAGAGATCATTTGATAGATCTATGTGTTCATCCATTCATCACATTAAGGATCTGCAGCTATTCCCTAACCACATTTTTGGCTCTTTGTGTTCTGTGTTCTTTACTGTACATGTATGGGGGAGAGCACCAGTATGAGGGATGGACCAAAAGGAAGTGAGGAGTATGTTTCCATGGAATCCCAAATTTTTATTAAAAAGACGCCTAAGAATCCTCTAGCCTAGGTAACTTCATGGATTCTCCTTCCTGCCCCAGCAGCCGGAATAAATACTGACTTTGTGAACAAAATAACCTTATTCAGGAGCTTTGTCTTGTCAGATCTTAGGGTTCCACTTCTCATTTGGCAGGGATATATTGAGAAGCTGTTGTGTGCCTATCTTAAAGTACTGAAAAACAAATGGAGGGGCAAGAATTTGGCCTAGCAGTTAAGCCCCTGATTAGGATGCCTATACCATATATTGGAGTTCCTGGTTTCAAGTCCTGGCTTTGCTCCTGATCCTAGCTATTGCTAATGCAAACCCTGGGAGGTAACAGGAAGTGATGGCTCAAGCAGTTGGGTCCCTGCAACCCGTCTGAGAGACCTGGGTTGAGATCCAGGCTCCTACCTTTGGTCTGATTCAGGCCAAGCTGTTGTAACTGGGAAGTGAACCAGTGAATGGGAATTTTCTCCTCTCCTCTCCTCTCCTCTCCTCTCCTCTCCTCTCCTCTCCTCTCCTCTCCTCTCCTCTCCTCTTTTTTCTTCTCTCTCTTCTCCTCTCCTTTCCCTCTCAACTAGTTTTTATAAAATATTTAAGAAAAAAATAAAATATGTAAAAATTCATCTAATATTAATTATTCTAATTCCTTATACAAGAAAGCCTCAATCTGTTTATATCTGTGAGACCTTGGGCAAATTACTTAACCACCTGATCCTGGAGCATGGAGGTAATAGTACATACCCCACACGGTTGATGTGAGAATTAGATGGGTTAATATCTCTAGATTAATTGCTATATTCCATGCATTGTTCCAGGAGCAAGCTGTTATTATCAAGACTCTGTCCTACAGAAGTGTAAGGTGCCTGAAGGAAGACGAGAAAAGAAGTAACAGGACTAGTCCAGACAAGGTGTTACTCCCTGTAGATTTAGCTAAAGCTGAAGAAGGAAGCTGAGATTAGACAGGGGTGAAGGACAAACAGGCAAGGTGAGGCTAGAACAGCAACAGGAAGGCCTGTCATTGATTATGGTAGAGCAACAGTGGTTGAATAAAAGCCCTTCTTCTGAGAATTGTAGCCCAGAAGGGTTGGAGAGTGTATGTTTTAGAAAGGCTTGTGTTCAACTGCTCAAAAACAGCCTCCGTCTTCTACTTCATCACCTCCTATCTCTCTCCTCCCCACTGTATCCTACCCACACATCCTACTATGTCTCTGTCCATACCTCATTGCCAAATGTTGTACTGAAAAATGAGATTTAGTTCGTCAAGTGCTCCACACAGACAGCTAGTAAGTCCTAAATCAATGTTATGACTACCCCAAGTTTGGCAACTTCCACCTTTGAAAATCTGTTACTTTTCAACTCTACTTCCCTCCGTCTGCTTCTTCACTCTGCTTTCCCAGCTCTCTCACCTAAAAATCCCAAAAGCTAACAAATTCCATGATTTTGTGCTAGCACAATTTTGTCCCTAGAGAATCTCATCCACTCTCATAGATTTGACCACACAAAACTGCATCTTGCCAGTGCCCAAATCTGAACCACCAGCCTCCACTGTTCCCCCGAGCAACCAGATACCTGTGTCTCAATTGTCTACAAGGAACCCACATGGATGCTGAATCTCTCTGCTAGACCTGTCAGCCTCAAAGCTAAAGCCAGTCTTTCTGTCCAAATATATTTCCTACTCCTGTACCCACTCAGTAGTCACTCATTTGGGGCAGAAGTCTAGGACTCAAGCTTTCGTTCTGTACTCCCCCACATCAGTCACATTAATGTTTTCATAATCTACCTCTTCCTCCTCTTCTCCATCACTGACTTGGGCAGTCTCAGATAGGCTTTCATGATCAAGTTTTCTGTAGACAACTCTCTTCAAGATGAACATTAAGTAAAAGACCTCAGTCCCTGGGTCATCAGCCATCTTTCTCTACTCTTCATCATGGCACAAAATACATCAGGGGATTTCCTGCAGGTAGAGCATGAGCACTCAAATTAAGTAGCTTTAGATTTAAATCCCAGCTCCGCCCAGTAGTGCTTTTGTGTCATTGAGCAATTTTCTAAAGCTCTGAGACTGTAAGAAAGGAATCTCCAACTGGGCATTTAGTTTTCTCTTCAGTAAAATAATAGGATTTCTATTAAATCCAAGTCTTTCTGGCTTTCACTGATGGAAGATTTTTAAGACTAGAAGAAATAAAATTACTTGTCTGTGCTTGGATCCATAAGATCTGCTTAAATGTTGAAACAAATCTTACTGAGTCCCATTGCTCAACTCCTGTAGATTGGGTTGGTGACCTCAGATAGACTTTGTGACATCCCAAAGTGGGGAGGACCAAGTTACCATGAATGCAGTTTCTCACAGGTAGATTCCTCCTGACTCAGAGTTGAGAAATTCATCTTCTTCAAGTAAATAACTGGAAAGCTTGGGTCAGGTTCCTAACTCTTGTGACTGAGTGTGCCCATAATAGCAGCCACATTAGAGTATATTAGAGTTACACTTGCCCTAGGACTTGGCCAGTTTCCTGCAAGACCATAGAAGAGAGCACCAGCGGAGGAGAATATGGAGGAGAAGAGGAGGAAGGCAGTGATTGGCAAGGTTGTGGGTGTGTGTGTGAGGGATGGAGAGAGAAGTAGTACCAGCTGTGGTTGGAGGATGTGTGCAAGCTGAGTGGGATGGAGTCACTGCTGAAGCGGCTCCATTTGTGCTTGGGGACATGGCAGTAAGAAGCAAATTGTTTGTGAGTTTATCATGCCTGTTATGAATCCCGTGTTTAACCAGCTCTCCGGAACTATAAAGTTGAATGAGAGGGATTTTTAAATCTCATTATCTGGGTATTTACCTTAAGAAGGGTCTTGAAGCAAGGATGGAGAGACAGAGTGGACTTCCTTGTGAGGGGACCCATGTATCACAAATGGCTCTTGTTTCAAAGGGACACCAGGTATTCGGTTTTGCTTTCAAAATTTTATTTATTTAAGAGCCAGAGAGACAGAGTGAGCACAAGAAAGAGAGTGAGAGAGATTCTATTTGCTAATTCACACCCCAAATACCCACAATGACTTGGACTGGGCAAGGATCAAAGCCCAGGACCAGAACCACAACTCAGATTTTCTACATGGGTGGCTAGAGTTGGAAATCAAAACTCCAGGTACTCCAATGTTGGAGGCAAGTATCTTAACCACTAGGCTCAGTGCCTGCTGACAGGATCCTAGGTTTAAGCTTTGGTGTCATAGTGTTGAAATTCTGAAAAATTGCCTTAAAGGGGGCAAGCATATTCACCTTGCACTGAGCCCCACCAAGAATGCAGCTGGTTCTGGGGAAACATGTTCCTTTTTTGAACCTGGAATAGATGTCACAGAAAGTGACATGTAAGCTACACCAAGTCATACCTAAAACGATAACAAAACCCTAAGGGAAAACCTGGAAAATGTCAACTTGACCATGTATACTCACCTGCAGAAACTGCTGAGACTCTCCCACACAGACCCGGAACCTTTTAAACCTCAATCTCATCTTGCTTCCTTGCAACATGAAGAAGATGCCTCTGTCACTATCCCAGGAAACAGTTATTACTGCACCAAGATACAGTCCTTGCAAGAACCCCAGCACACCTCTGCAGCATTATCCTCCACACTTCCTCCCAGGGAAAAAAATGAGGCTGCCTAGGAGCAAAACCTTCTTGACAATAAAATCTGAACACTGAAACACCCAAAGGTTTCTGGTTCTTTCTTTGATCCTTACTGAAAACGAAGGGTTTGTTTTGAGGATTTTTCTAGACAATCACATCTGCCCTCCAAGCACAAAGATGTGTGTAGATGAAGTGTTATTAACCTCTGTGCTTTAGGCTACATAATTTCAAGACTAGAAAGGGCAGAAAGTGAGTTACCTTGCTTCCTTTTCTTTACTGTAAATCCCACTAACCCAACTTTTTGAGGTCTCCAAATATGAAAATTCTGCCCAAAACACCATGGTGAAACCAAATAGGCAATGATAATGCCAGAAAAGACTCAATTTTCAACTCTACCTTTCAAGGATCTCAGGTCACAAATCAAAATTTAACTCCTGTCTCCTCTTCTTCTGCCTCTATTGGTCACCATTAAGACTAGGAAATAGAGGTTCAAGGCCACTCAGATATATTAAGACTGAATTGTGATGCTCTCTCTTGACCCAAACCTGATCAATAGTTGTAACGGGGCACTGGTGCTGTGGCACAGTGGGTTAAAGCCTTGGTCTGCAGTGCTGACATCCCATATGGGCACCAGTTTGAGTCCTGGCTGCTCCACTTCCAATCTAGCTCTCTGTTATAACCTGGGAAAGCAGTGGAAGATGGCCCAAATCCTTGGGACCCTATATCCACATGGGAACCTGGAGGAAGATCCTGGCTCTTGGCTTTGGATTGGCTCTGTTCTGGCTGTTGTGGCCATGTGCTGAGTGAACCAGCAGTTGGGATTCTCTCTCTCTCTCTCTCTCTCTCTCTCTCTCCCTCCCTCCCTCCCTCCTCCCTCCTTCCCTCTCTCTGCCTCTTCCTCTGTAACTCTTTCAAATCAATAATTTTTTTAAAAAAATGGTTATAATAGGTATTTACATTAAAAATAAGTCAGACATACTGAGGAGCTCTATTCAATGCCTTCTACCAGCATGGTGGTCACAATGCTTTGACATCCTCAATTATGAAGTCATTGACCACATGTGGTAACATTGATCTGTCTCCCTGGTTCTTTTCCCCCCTTGGTAGCAACTCTGTCCCATTTTAAAGGACCAGATGTCTTATGGTATATACACACTATGGAACAGTATTCAGAGTGTAAAAAAATGAAATTCTGTGTTATGCAACAAAATGGATGCAACTGGAAACCATTAAACTCAGTTAAATAAGCCAGTCCCAAGAAGACAAATACTATATGTTTTCCCTAATTTGTGGTAACAGAGTACCTAAAAGGTAATGTATAGGAGTGAGATTGACATTTTGCAGTGGATAATTGTTTACAGCTCTTATCTCTACTGATGAGAATCGTGTCTTTTTTTTTCATACTGTTGAACTCTTTACTTGGTGTAGGGTTAATCTTATGAATATAAAGTTAACTGAAATAGATCATTATAATAATTACGAGTAGAAATAGGAGTGTGAGGAGGAAGGGTGTGAGCATAGGCTGGAGGGCAGGTAGGGTGGGAAGTATCATTATGTTCCTGAATCTGTGTATCAGAAACACATGAAATTTGTATACCTTAAATAACATTTTAAAAAAATAAACTCAATGAACTGATGGCCCCTGGCAGGTGGAATGATTTTAAGGAGACATAGGTCCTGTCTAATGGCTCCTAAACATGAAAGAAGGGATGAGCAGAAAAGACACACACACATATGGCCAGAAATTCCAATTGTGCACATGGTACAGTGGCAAGAAGCCTGAACTGGGGATTAGGTAATCTGGGCTGGGGATCAGACTCTGCCTATAATTTGTGACTTTGGCAAGGTTACCCTTCATACTTGAATATATTTATTATTAAATTGTTCTCTAGCAACCCTGCAACTCATAGTGCCTTGTTCCACTTGGTTGATGAATTAAAACACATTTGTTCCTGAAGACCACATGAGGCCAAATGTTTTAATGTGTGTGATATTTCAGTGCCTTTACTTAACCCCTTTCCAATACCCAGGATGCAGCCCTACTTTCGTCGTTAATCAAAGAGAAATGTGTTCTCAGCATATTCTGGAAAGGGACACTGTTATGCATGCATATTGAGGTTAATGTGGGCAGGGAGGCAGCTAATGTGAAAACCTTATTTGTAATATTCTGAAACATAAAATTTGGATTTCATGTCCCACTTCTGCAAGTGGTCTTGTTGTTATTCATGATGTGGGAAGGCAGAAATAATGGACATTCTCAAATAATTTTTAAAAGTCAAAAAATAATGAAAAGTAAATGAGAATTTGAATTTACCTCAAAATGAGAGCTTTAAATTGGTTCAGAGGACCTCCAAATTCACACCCTGCTTTTAAGAACTCCCCACTTTGTTCCAGTTTTCCTGTCTTCAGTATCAGTATCTATCACTGTGATCTTAACAGCATATGTATGAAGGAAAAGCAAATTGAACAGAGAGTCAAGGTCAGATTTATTTTTAAATCCATTAGGAAAGCCATTAGGGAGCTGTGAGCAGTCGCCCACCTGGGGATCGGAATCCTGGGGTCCCTCCCTGGCTCTTCCACTGCCTGGGAACAGCCCCTGAAACAAAGCTTTTGGCCTCCCAAAGGAACTGGGCAAGATAATCCCTGAGGAGCTGACCACAGCCACCACTGTTGTGATGAGTGTCCCACATTTTAGCAGCCCAATGAGCTCCTAAAAAAAAAAAAATAAACCAGGAATTGTTTGTAGAAAGACAACTTGGGGTTGCAGTGGGAAAGGTAGGAGAGGGTCCTAAACACATAAATGAGGACAAATACCAACAAATCTCAAGGCAGAATCCAGCCCATCCTCAGAACCAAGATGTCGTCTGTGTTTTTCCAGAACTGAATGGGAAGAGGTGAATGGAGTTGGGGACTTTCCTTCTTTTTTCTCTAACAACCACCAAGAGGTGGCCTTGTCTTCTGATCTCTCTTGATTCACACCTGAGAGATCAGGTGTGCTCAAGGATCACAGAGTTTTTCCTCCTGCAGAGATTCCTCTCTCTAGGGCTTTCACCTATTCCAGCCTGTCCTTGACCCCTTTCTTTACCTGCTGTAACAACAGCAGCAGCAATGGAGTAGAAGACAGCGTACCATATGCCCGCGAACAGGGTAAAAAGGTCCCTGCTTCCCAGCTGAGGTCAACATCTGGAGAGGCTTAGATTTCAGAGAGGGATTTAAACTGAGTCATCAACATGTGTAAGAACCGTCAGCAACTTTCCATGCTCCTTCTCCGTAACCCCCAAGTCCAGCCTGCTGGGAAGATCCAGTCCCATGGAGACATCCATTGGACTCCCCAGGAAAATTAATGGAGTGAGTTTGAATTGGAGAGGTGAAATGGGACCCAACTAGTGACCCGTCTTCCAAAACAGTAACGCCCTGAGCCTACCCTTCTTAACCTAAGAGGCCAGTGGGAGTGCTGGCCTTCAAGCCCTTCCCAGCAGGACTCCCTTGGCTGTCCTTCTAGGTTGTGAACAGACCATGCTGTCCATCAACCTGTCTGCAGGCAAGCTAACAGTCACCCTAGAGAGAGAAGGGGCCAATAGCTCCTCTTCAAAAAGTCTAAAAATCCAGTTCTCTCTCTCCATGACCCAACAACTATTAGAAAATACCTTTCATCAATGCAAAAGAAAACCAAAAACAAGAGAAACAGGGAGAGAAGCTGATTCCTGTTGAGGGAACCAAGGTGTCAAAGGGAGAAAGCATTTAGTGGGCCTTCTCTGCTTTGTATGCTTACTCATTTGAAGTGACTCCCGTGTCTTCTCTGTGTTTGTTTCCTCATCCCAAATGAAGCAGAAAAGGTAAGAAGAGAGTCAGCAAACTGGATTAACAGATGGCTCTCAAAAGAAGCCTCCCTCTGGGCCTGCTGAGGGTCAGAAGTGACCTCACTGTGCTCTATCTAAATTGCCATTGGCTCAGGCAACAGTGGGGCAGAAACGGAAAGAGTGACAGAGGCAAGCAGCAGTGGCCAATGCTCAGCCCTGCTCTGTCTGCACCCCAGGAGGTCCACCAAAGGAGCCAACCCAAACACCCCCTACAGCCCCACCCTTATCTGGCCTCTCACTTTCCCCTCCACTGCACCAGGCTTTCTGCAGCTCAAGTTTCTCAGCATGGGTGTCTGAAACCAGAACTGCTCTTCAACTCTACGCAAGGGAGACTTTCCTGTTTGCTTCTTTGTCAGTTCTCGAGGCTGGCTGCCTTCTTTCCTGTGATCTCAGCTTCTCCTTGGCAGGGTGGATCTTTTGGGGGTGGGAGGGACTGGGGAGAGAAATAGTATCCAATCTCCAAAACCATCCAGAAAATGCCTCTCAAACCCAAGAGGCCAGTCCCTCTGTCAACAGTTTAGGCAGCAGAGCCAGGCCTCGGGTGAGCACTGAGTGCCAAAATGGTATGAGGGAGACAGTGTCCTTTTGACCTTTCCCTATCTAGAAACATTTCTACTTATGCAAAGTCAGTCTGATTGTGCTAGTCTGTGTGTCCTCACTGCATACCAAAGAACTACATTGAGCAAATAGTCACTGACCTTCTACTCTCTGCCATGCTAGTGCCTATAGGAAATATACCGGAAATCAAAGACAACCCTAATACAAAGATGCCAAAGTCAGATCATCTCTGAAATTCCCAAACCCACCTCGTTTAGTTATGAAATAAGAAAGTTAAAGTCCAGAGAATTCCAAACAGGACCAGAGCCAAGACAATCTGTCCCTCAGTGGGGCCAAGATAACATAAATAACATGGCAATAAAGGTACAAAACAGGGTCTTGTACAGTTTTGATGAGCTGTGCAGACTTTAAGGCCAATGGTGTAGGGATAATGGACATTAACTTTCAAGTGACAATGAAAACTTGATAAATCAGGGAAGTCTTCCTTGGAGATATGGAACAAAGTGAGGAGGAATAAAATAGAACAATAAAAGGACTTTTTATTCATTTAACAAATACATTTCACAAGTACTTACTGAGCTCCAATTCTAATGGCAGCATTGTAGAACCTGGGGCTACCCAGTGGTGAACAGAGTTTCTAAATTCCTGCTTTCATGGAGGTCTGTGCTTTCATAGGAATGTGCAGAAACCACTAGGCTGGAGTAGACACGGAAACTCCTGAGACACAAAGGGTAAGGCAGCATCCTCTTCTCCAGAGCTCTTCCTTCTTGTCGATGAAATCACCAACAGAAGGTCTACAGAGAGACCTGCCTGGAAACACGAAAATGAAAAGTGTCACTTACGGTGGCTACTCAAGAAACGTGAGTTTCAAAGCATGATTTATCTTCTTATCCATAGATATCAGAAATGCAGAAACTGGGGCTTGAACTGCATTCTCTCTTTTATTCAACCTACTTTGCTGAGACTCCCCTTCGCTGGCATACAAAATATAGTTCTTGAATGAGGATAATGGCAGTGGAGAGAGAAGGGTCACAAAGAAGAAATCACTATTAACTTTTATTGAAATTTGTTCCAAAGAACTAAAACATGATTTATAAAAGTGAGAGGAGAAAAGGTTAGAATGACAAATCCTTTAACGCCACATACCAGTTATCATTAGTTCCCCTACATGGATATCTCAAAAAAGCACTTTAAATTCAACATAGCATGTTTTAACCCAAATACATGCTTATCACCATCCCCACGCCTGGTCTTTATCCCCGGAGTGGCACCGGCATCCAGACAGCTATATTACACAGAAACAAAAGCTGTACCCTTAACACCATTTGCTCTCACCTTCCAAATCCAATCCATCACCAAGTCTTTGTCTTTTGTCTGCTTCTGTATTTCAATCAACACCTCTTCATCCAAGTCTAAGCCATTATCAGATCTTTCTCCCTATTGAACCACTGCTATTGACAATAGCCTCTCCCTTTATTCACTCAACTCCTCCAATAAATCAATAGCCCACCCACCAGCTGCCTGTCTCATTGTGCCAACCCTCTAACATTTTTCAAGGCTTCCCAGTGTACTTGAGCATGGTTTGGTCTCTGCCTCTCTTTTCAAACTCATCCCACACCATGCTGGGAGGTTCCCTCTGCCCCTCCTCCAGGCAAAATGAGCCTCTAAGTAATTCCTCACTGATATTTATGGATACTAGATTAATGGCATCTCATGAGTCTGAAAGTTCCATGAGCACAGGACCCACATGTGTCATTATCCACCATTGTTTTCTTAATTCCCAAGCTCATGCTGCATCCTATCTAATCAATAAATATTTGTGGCTGAATTTTTTAATATAGTGAGGCCAGTGATTCTGAACTAGGCTGATGTTGCCCCCTGCCCCCACTCCCTCAGCCTCCCAAAGGAAAAGCAGCAATATTTGGACATATTTTTGGTGATGGCATCTATGGGGGCTCTGCTGGCATCTAGTGAGTAGAGTCCAGGGAGGCCAGGGACACTGCCAAAGGAGGACTCACCAAAAGTTATCCAGCCCATTGTGTCGGCAGTTCTTAGACTGAGAAACTCTTAGATGAAAGAGAAACAATATTTATGTTTTGATCATACTGAGTTGGATTTCCTAGAGTCAAGTGCTTGTTGCCTCCAGATACTTTGAGACTTAAACATGTATGCATACACACATACTCAGTGGGTACTAAATTCCCTACAAGCAGGAGACATGTATTTTAGTGGTCTCTTGTATTCCTCAAATGCCTGGTATTGAGCCAAGATTTAATTGCTCATAACTACCTATCTGGAAAGCCTTACCTAACCTGAAAAACATCTCAAAATTGATGCCAACATTTGAGCTGCATGAAAGGGACCACTTTATTTCACATATATGACCAAAGAGTAACAAAGGCTAGTGACATCACAAAAGAGCACTGCCTACCTGCTAGGCCACGCCCCTTCACAGTCACAAAGGCCAAGGCCTTAAATACCCACACTCTCAGCTCCCGGGCCTTGCAAAGCCCCTCATTTTGGCAGAAATTACAATGTCGACCAGCCGCAAATTAAAGAGTCATGGCATGAGGAGGGGCAAGAACCGCTCTCCGCACAAAGGAGTCAAGAGAGGTGGCAGCAAAAGAAAATACCGGAAGGGCAGCCTGAAGAGTAGGAAAAGGAGCGATGATGGTGAGCGAGGGATGAGTAGGAAAGTGGTCAAACTTGGGGAGATGTTGCTCCCCAGGCCCTCACATCTGGAGGCAGCCCACATATGACCCTGAAATCTCAGCAGAGATCCTTTCCAATGACTAAACCCCTGCTTGGGCAAAAAAGTTTTGATGGGTGTTTTCTAATGGGTATCACTCTTGCAACCTGTCCTTCCCCCACAGCCAACCGCAATTACCGCTCCCACTTGTGAACTTACCAGCGGGCTCTGTCCTGGTGGGCTTCAAACAGCACCAGGCAGCAATGAGAGAACAACAGAAGGGGAACTGCCAAGGAGGCCTGAAGTTAGACCAAAGCCAGAGAAGAGCCTATTGAGTGTGGATAAAATGCCAATTGTGACAAAATGAGGAATGTATATGTTGGCTGTTTCTCCCCAACATCTCAATAAAATTTTGAAAACTAAACTGTTTCCTTTTATCTTTTGGTTGGAAAAACTTGGAATCCTGAGCAAGGCAGACTTGGGGAAGAATTGGCCCAAATGAAACCATTAAACATGACTTGGAAAATATCAAAGTAATTTGTCCTTACAACTCCTTCCCGTGGTGGCCCCATTCTGGCCATCTCCATATTTAGGTCTTTTTCCCAAGGCATGGACTCCCTCCCCAATATGGAAACAGAGTATAGGGAGAAATGAGTTCATCTGAGTGCCAAATATGAGCCAAAGGTCACAAGCTACTTTTGTCAAGGGACTTCTAGCATAAGGAGACACAAGCTGAAGTTGATTTGGCCCAAAAAACATTCAGTGGAGGCTCTCAAGTCATTGGGAAGCATTAGCAGGCTGTTAAGAATTGGGAGGTGTTCTGAACAGAAGGCAGCATGAACTTTGTAAGGAGAACACAATCATCCACAATCATCCTATTAGTAAAGTGGAAGTGATGAGGGCTTTATGCCTAGACTTCTACAGGTTTTTTAGTAATAAGCCACATTTTCAGATGGACGCAACCAGTAGCTAGAGATTCAAGCCACAGTGAGTGTTGGTCAAGTTTGCCTGAAAATAGGAATTATCTCAAATCTTGGTGGATTTTATTGGCACAGAACTGCCTTTAGCTCTATAGTCAGGCAAAAAAAAAAATTCCTAATGCCTCATTTTACCTTGACCTTGGGTTGGGATATGGTTTACAGTTGTCTGGCCAGGGATCTAATGCCACCTCTCAGCGTCAGCTCAGAGGGGGTAATTTTTTCGGAATGAGCTAGTACCAGAACCAGCCACCCACATGGATTCTGGAGACACAATCAGGAAAGGACATCATCCAGAAGGAATGAGAGGACCATGAGGTCCAATAGGAAGTTTCCAACAGTGGCAGGGAGAGACGGTGAGACACGGTAACAGAAGGAGAAAAGGGGACACTGGCTTGATCCTCTTGCAGGTGCATGAGGATAAAGACGTTGGGACATTTCAACAATAGAATCCAGATCTTTTCACTTGTTGGAGGATATGGTCCTTACTGTCCTGTAGCTCTAGAGAACACACACACGGCTCCAGGGTTATCTCCTTACCAGCTCACATAATCAGTTTCTGTTACCTCCAGGCATATGGATACTTCAAACTCATTTTCAAAAGGGAACAGGAAAAAACACCCTTTCATAATCCCCCTCCACTGTGGTTATGCCTATTTCACCTCCTCAACGTTCCTCTGATCTGTCCTGGTTTCTCTAAGCTCAGATTAGCCTCAAAAATTTGTTTGCCCCTAGCTGTTTATGCAGAACTTGACAGTTCTGTAAACTCCTTCAGAAATGGCCAGTTCTCACGCGGATCTGGTGCCTTCCAGGGGATTGTTTGCCTTCATATATATAAAACCTGAAGTCTCCTTGCAACACACAATATCCATAAAATAAGCCCCAAACCTAAAAATTGGTTTTTTGATGTTGAGTAAATTCTTCCAAACTTCTGCTCATAGGTTAGGTTCTCAGCCAGCAGAAAGTGAGGCAGAATGAGAGGCCGACATGTGTGAAGGAAAGGGGGAGGAGCTGACCAAAGCACTAGCCAACCCACCAGGAAAAGAGAGCCAGTTAGAGTACCACAACAGTGGGCCACAGTGGCCAGGCCTTTACACACTTGCCTGTTCACTCATGCTACTGCACTCATAGGTAACCCTGCCGAGGCACTCCTTAGAGCAAACGTCAGTTAGAGGTTCACGTGATCACATGTCTCACAGTCTGGACCATGTACCTCCTGTGTCTACTACACTTGCTTTCTGTTCCCAGCTCCAATCCCCATGGTCTTTCACCCCTGCTTCTGCACAGATCACTTCCTTGCCACTTCCCGATTTAACAGTGTGCCATCAGCCTTCCAATGTTGTCATGTGCAGCTCACCCCTTTGCACCACACACTAAGATCATAAGGCAAAGCCAACAGAACAACCCAGAAGAGCAGTCATGTTGAGACTGTGACATCACTCCCCACAGGAAACTTGTTATGACCAAAGAAGTCAGCCTGGTCTAGGCAACTCTCCATAAGGGTCTTCCAGAGGAGCCAATGAAGAGACTTTACTGAAGGGAACATTTTACAGAGGCTAGACACTACAGCCTAGCACTGGTAGCTTCAACAGAAGACAAAAAAGTGTCATAGGAGTCCAAGGACAGCCAAAATTTTGTGGTGGTGGAAGATGGGCTTCCTGCTAAAAACTATCTTGGGGATCACAGCTATCACCAGCATCTCAGAAATGGGAATGAAACATCCTGGTAGTTCTCCAAACTCCTGCTGATGCTCCCATTGACCAAGGTAAAGCAGAAGCCAGCAAGCAAGTGATCCCAAGTGACAGAGAAGGGCTGGCTAAGAATGTTGGGAGATAGTTCTGAACATCTCATGGTGCTGGCTACTGCCACACTGTAAGCAAAATTTCTTCTTAGAAGTTTGCCACTGTTTCTCTCCTGCCAGGCATTGTCACAGACCAAAGTCTTTTCAGGAATGAATATCACAGGAATGCAGCAAAGGGAAAAGGGTGCAAAACTGAGCTAACCACCCAGGACTACCAAACCCTCAGCTGGGACAGAATGTGTTTTCATGTCCTTTGCATGACATTATTTTTTCCAAATCAATACAGTACATCACCATTCTACCACAATGTTATATTTCCATAATTTTGTAAACACAGAAATCATTGAATTAATCATTAGGGTGGGCATGCGGTGAACAGCCATGGGCTAGTCAGGGCAGACAAGATCCTTGCCTGGTGACTTCGGCCATTGCCCTGTTCAGTTGTGAAGGATTAGTGGCTGCTCATTTGCAGTCAGAACGTTTGCCAGGTCCACATGCTGGAATTGGTCCAATGCCTGTGTTGACCAAGCCCCTGCCCTCCAAGAGCCTTCATCCTGTCCCTCTGTTTATGGCTCCTGCAGACTCCACACCTGTGGGTCTTTTGACTGTGGTGACGTTCCTTTGGGAGACTAGAAGATCTCACCCCTGGGTGCGTTTTCTCCATCTCTCTAATCAAGGAAGACTTTGTTCCCTTCCCCAGTTTTCTCCAGAACGTCATGTCCTGAAGTCATGACTTGTTTGGCCTTTTTGGAAAGTGAAAAATTAAAGAAGTCTAAGTATCTTGGCCACAAGTCCCTCTGGGTCACCTTGACCTTCCTGTGCACTGACTTGGATGCAGGGCCTCAGCTCCACTGGCCACAGGGTCCCGTGGGGATGGTGAAGCTTAGGAGCCCCATGTGTGAGTGGAGAAAACACGAGGAGCTATGGAGAGCAAAGCTGACTCCCACCTCTCAGCCCGGGCCTTTGCAGATGACCCCAGGAGGGATCAGCCACAGGCAAACAGGAAGTTCTGGGGAAGTGCTCAGGGCTGTGCTAGGGAGGTGAAGTCCTGGAAATGGCAACTGGGAGGAAACTCTGTGTGCTTTGGGAGTGGTTGTGGCAAGTCAGACATGGCCTGGGGCTCAGTTGGCAGGGCCACCCAACCAATGGGTCCTTTGAGACCAGAGGAGAGCAGTGGCCTAAAAGCTCTGCTTCACTCACTGGCTTTGCAATCTGAGCACTCACTGCTAAGGCCTCTTCTGGGGCAAGACCCCAAACAGAGCAGAGTCTTCCTTCCTGACCTCTAGGGGCATGGAAACCTAGTTCCCAGCTTGGTCCACATCACCAGGCTGATGAGTAAAAAGCTATTTTGGTTCCATAGAGCCTACATTTCCTTGTGTCTGGTCCCACCAAGCCTTTCTCTCTCCAACATTAGCTTTCTCCTCCAGCTGAGCCATTCCTGTTATCTTAGCAAAGTGTCCCAGAAGCAGTGTGCTTGACCCCTCTCTCCTCTGCATCCTGGTGCAGGAGAAAGAGCCCAGAACCAAAACCAAGGGTCTGGGTTGCATCAGAGCCAACTCCTCCTACTTTGGGGACTTCTGTGGCTTTGCACATTCTTTTCCTGCGATAGAACCTCGTCTCTTTCTATGGCCCAGATCCAGGAGAGTGATACTGAAGCCGCACCTTGGACAGGAAGAAGCGACGCATTCTGGGCAGTCAGCATGGTGTAGGATGAAACAGATGGGCATTATACTGAGCTGGCCCTGCATGTAGGTGTCCACTGTACTGGCTAGGTGATCTCGGGTGAGTTTTCTAACTTCCTTTAGCCTCATCTTCCTTATATGTAGAATGTCAGTCTTAAAGCTGACCTCAATGGGGGCTTAAATGCTATAAATTATAAGCCCTGAGTAAATTGTATTCTCTCTCTCTCTCTCTCTCTCTCTCTCTCTCTCTCATAGTGTTTTAGGCATCCTTGAGCCTGTCTCACACCAAGTCATGACCCTGCTTCTCAGATCTTACTTTCAGGAGGTCCTATCCCATAAGGCAAGGCTGGCCCCACACTGGAAGACAGATCTCTCTCTGGCAGTGCCTGGCTTGCTCTGCAGACAGCTAGCTCCAGGCTCCCATTGTGACCTGGCACCTCCCCACCTCTCCTGACCATTTTCCTAGGCCAGGCCCAGAGAGCAGAGAGCATGCCCCTGAAGCTTGTTTTCCTCATCTATAAAATCAGGGAGCTGGGGATGATCTTATATCTCTAGCTAGACTGCAGGCTCCTAGGCGCAGGAGCCAAGCCATCTAAGAGATGTGCATACAAAGACACAACTTTAAAAAAAATCGATAAGTCCACCTCTTAATACACTGCAAAAAATATCTGAGTATGAATGCTCATGAAAAGAGACAAAAGTGAATTAATAAATTCACTAATTAGGATCATGCTTCTTCTTTTCCCCATTAACAACAGGTAAGTACCTCTCTAATTACCTATGAAGTCCTCAGGATTTTACCAACAAGACATAAAGATCTTAGATTCCACGATCTGCCAAGGTCATCCTCAAAAACTCTGAAGAAGGCCTTTTTAGTCAGATGAGGAAGTGGCCCTGCCTTTCTTGAACTACTGTTTTCTTCAGAAGCCCAGAAGAACACTACCACACCAGGTACCCAACAAGGCTTCTGGAAGTCTGGTGTACAGAGCATCACCCGGGGACTCTGATGAGCTACAGATTCTGATTCTGTGGGTCCAAGTCTGCCCAAGACTGCATTTCTAAGATCTCAGGTAGCAGATGGTACTGGTCCATGGACCACACAGTGAACAACAGGGCACATGGAACACAGTTGGCATCCCAAGATACAAGTGAAAGAGAAGGTAAGCACCCTAAGGTCCCTTCCAGTTCTTAAAAAAAAAAAGTCCTAAGATTCTAAAGGATGAAATTAGAGAAATGCAGAATGCTGCCGCTGTGTCTGATTTCTTCCATCCCAGGAAGAGAAAGTAGCAGCATTGCATGTGGACAGTGGGTTGGCCAGGCCCAGGGCTTTCTCTGCTGTCTCTGACCTCTTGGCAGCCCAGAGAATTCAGTACATGGGGCCTGAGTTGCCCAGAGAAACTGTGAGCGAAGATGGGAGAGAGGAGATGAGAAAAAGCTCTGCCTTCAGTGAGGCTTCTCCCCCGTGGCCACCTCTGGAGGCCTGGAAGGGGATCCCTGGTTTGACTACAAATCCTTGCCTGTTTCCTTTTCAACTTGCTCTTCTAGTCTGCAGACCATGAATCACATCCCACTCCACCACCTGCCACTCAAAATGTACATCTGCTTGCATTTGGTTGAGACCAACAGCAACAGATGGCAGTTAACCTAGAAGGGGGGGAAGCAATCCTTTGGAAGGATGAGATGGAGCTCAGGGGACAGAAGGAAACACTGGACAGGGACCTCACAATGGGAGCCGGTCAGGCAGCAGATAGAAACCCAAGGGTGTTCTCTTTTGATTGAAATGTCTCCAATTGTTTTCCATTCTTACATCACTCCCCTAAAAATTCAAGAGTCCCAGGAGAAAGAAACTGATGGCCATGCTTGTGTTGCCATGAGGAAAATAGAGACTGTTGCCCAAGAAGGGGATGTGTGTGCTGGTCAGTCAGATTGACGATGTTTACCACAGATACAGAATCTACTCCCTGCAATGCCAAAGGTTACAAAGAACAGGTAGAAACCACATTCCTGAACACACACAGCAATATTCTTGGCCCTGGGGTGCCCCTATAGCATGCAATTTTTCCTGTAAAAGGTCTATCTTAGCACAACAAATTTTCTTAGGAATGGACAACATACACTCTACTTTCACTGCTGGTACCAGAATTTGCCTTTGGTCTCACCTCTGTTTTGCCCCTGTAGGAAGTTTTGATCATATCAGGCATCAGCAGCAGTTGGGATGGAGAGGAGAGTCTCACCAAGCTGCATTGTGGGGCAGAATCTGGATGGATGCCCAGGCTCACTTGCCAGTGTTCAGATTTTATATTTATGCCTCAGAAAAAGTAGACATGCCTGTGAATTGTAGCTCTCTGGAAGATTCCACAATGGAGACTGGGATGTCCATGAGACCCAGCAGTCCAGGAACACAACACCAGTATGTTCAGGACACAGCCTGACTCCAGAGGGTTCCATCGAACTCCTAACAAGAACAGCTGCCCTATTTCCTGCCTCCAACTCTGAGCAGGAAACAAAATGTGCGCTAGCCGACTTAGTAGACAGAATCTCATTGGGGCTTAGATCTGCAGTAGCCACTGGCCCCATGTAGCTCAAAATATACTACTTTGAACAGAGATGCATTACATTCTCACTGTAACTTATGCCAGCTTTCAAAGACTTAGTATGAAAAAATAGAACATAAAATATCTCATAAATGATTTTTCACATTGATTTTATGTTAAAATTTTTTTTGAGGCCATCAGGTTCAATAAAATAAATAAAATTATTTTACATGTTTCTTCTTTGTAAAATGTGGCTACTAGAAAATTTTAAATTATCAATGTGACTCTGTTGCACAGAGCTGGCCCGGGCTCCCTGGATTTTCACAGCTCAGTAACTCCTCATCTCTCATGCTTCCATACTGAGCCAGGCTCTGTGCTGAGCAAGCATTGAGCAGAGATGAATAGAGCTCATTCTCTACCCTCACCTTCCCAATCCATCGCAGACACACACTCACTCTTCTCTTTTGATTAATTTAATGCTTTAGTAATAGAGGTTTACAGGGGGTTCTCGTGACCATCCTGTCCTTACTGCGCCAAAATTATTGTGTTACCTGGATGTCTGGGGAAAAGGTTGCACACAGTTGGATATTTGTGTATTTCCAATCTAGACTAGCTTTTAATGTCATTGATTGGTTTATGAGTATATGCTTACAAAATGCAAATACACAAAAACTTTAAATGTTCTTTTTGACATATCAGGAAATTTTTATGTGTCATAGACAGAGGGGCATAGCCTGACATCTTATTAGCTCTGTGACCTACTCATACCTCTGCCTGCTAACTCATACAGAGGGGCAAAAAGTAGAGATGAAAAAATCAAGAGAGTGGCACGCAACTTTAAATCCTAACTATGGTATATTCCATGAGTTTTTTTGAAAATGGCATAGTTTCAGAAACTTTCATGTCTAGGAATAATAACAGCAGAACTTGTTATGTCCGAGACTCTCCTAAAGCTTTATACCTATTAACCTCTTTCATTCACCTTGACCATAATTCCAGGAACTAGATACTACTGTGATTTCTATTTTAGAGATGAAAAAGTAATTTGTCTAAGGTCCCGCAGCTAGTGAACTGGGATTTGAATGAGATCGTCTTCTCCAGGTTTGTGTCCTGGAGTCACAGGAAGGGGGATTGAAGCCTAGATTTCATGGACGCATGTGTGTCCATGTGATGGCTCAGGTGATGGAAGAGTCAAAACTAGACTCTGTGGCAGACATTTGATGCAAGGGTTAAGATGCTGCTTGGGATACCTGCATCCACAGATCCAGCTTCCTGATAATGTACACTCCGGGAGGCAGTGGGGATGATTCAAATACTTGGGACCTTGCCAGTCACAGGAGAGACTGATACTGAGTTCCAGGCTCCTGGCTTCAACCTGGTCCAGCCCTAGCTGTTGCAGGCACTTGGGAGTGAGCCAACAGATAGAAGATCTACCTTTGTCTCTCTAAGTGGGTCTGCCTTTTAAAATAAAATGAAAATTAAAGTTTTTTTTAAAAAAAGAGAACTCTGTTCTCACTGCCCCAGTATCCCTACCCTCCAAATCAAACCATGGCAACATCCAAAATGAACAGAAATTTTGATAGCAGACCTAGGAGCTTGGGGATGGAAAATGAGGAGAAGTAGGTGGGATTTCTCATCTCTCTTGACCCCGGTGGAAGCAAGGCCAACTGAGTCACACCCTGAGTAATGAACAACAGCAGAAAGATCAAAGGTGTTGACATCAGCCTATTCTAGAACCACATCTTGTCACAGCCACTTAACAGTTGTGGAATCTTGCACAGGTTACCTAGCTTCTTTGAGCTCTGTCCCTTACTCTGTAAAATAGGGCTAAGAACACTTTCTTGTAGAAACAGAATGAGAATTTATGTAGAATCCACGGGCAAAACAACTCACACTATAACTGGGGCAATGTGAGTACTTGACAAATATTGGTTCCTCTCAAGATGCCTTCAATCCCTTCAACTTTAACTGGAACTAAATAAGGCTGCCTGAGATTTCTACAAAAGGGTCTATGGTAGAGTAAAATAACAAGGGTCTAGAGGTTTGCCTCAGTGCATGAAGAGGGGAACCTCCACACCACTCCCTACATCGCAGGTTGGGCAAGGGTTACCACCAGGGGATGTGCCCATGGCCTCACTCTGTGTTGCTAGAAAGAAAGAGGAGGATTGTGAACTCTCGCTTGGACCACAGAGGCCCTTTGTATCTCTCAGGAGAGGGAAGGGTGGGGCCTCAGGCTGGGGGAGCAGGGTTGGGTGGGGTGATCTGGCAGCCTCAATGGCGTCTAAGAAAGGCTGGCTTGATGCCCAGCCTGGTGTGTCGCAAGGGTTGGTGGGCAGAGGTGCCCTGTGAGGTGAGGACAGGTGTGAGCAAAGAGCAGAGACTTGGAAAAAGAGAGAGCTGTATTTTACTTCTTTATGTCACCTTGCATTTTAACTCATTCAATTCCATTTTTTTAAGCTATGTGGGCATAGCCTCATTTTCCATTCTTTGGCTTTTTCAACTAAAAGGCAGGCATTTGCAATGTCATGGAGTTCCACAGAGGGTGCCCTGGGCCCTTCTTCTCCAGCTCCCTGCACACGACACAGACTGCACTGATTCCCACTGAAGAGACAGAAACTTCACAAATGGCTTGGACCCTTGACTCCTAGAGACCAGAGACTGCCTTGTCTTAATTAGGTCTACTTGAGTTTCCTACTTTCCTTCCAAGGAAGGTAATTAGGCCAAAGACCTAGGGGAAGCCCCCCTCTGGAGAGAGAGCTCTATATGTCTCTGTCACCTTTCTCTCTGCTGTTCCTCTCACATTTTAAAACACAGCTCCAAGCATCTTTTCCTAATCAGCTGAGGCAGAGATGGATCGGCCTCATGGCCTCTCAGTTTCTGGCTCACTGTGCTTCCCTCTCTAGGAGTCCTCAGCTCCTGTGGATGCAATGATGTTATGGCTGCTGGGTGTGGCCTCAGGGCTCTAAAGAGGCAAATTTCCCTGAAGACAGTCATAAGCTTTGTCATCTCCCCACTTTGTCTCCTCCCCACTCAATCAGTAAAGGCTCACTGAATGTCTGCTCTGTACCTGGACTATAACTTCCCACCCCATCTAGGATGGTAACCAGTGGTTCATAAATGTCTGTGATGTGAGGCCGGCGCCGCGGCTCACTAGGCTAATCCTCTGCCTTGCGGCGCTGGCACACCGGGTTCTAGTCCCGGTCGGGGCGCCGGATTCTGTCCCAGTTGTCCCTCTTCCAGGTCAGCTCTCTGCTGTGGCCCGGGAGTGCAGTGGAGGATGGCCCAAGTGCTTGGGCCCTGCACCCCATGGGAGACCAGGATAAGTACCTGGCTCCTGCCATCGGATCAGCGCAGTGCGCCAGCTGCAGCGTGCCAGCTGCGGCGGCCATTGGAGGGTGAACCAACGGCAAAAGGAAGACCTTTCTCTCTGTCTCTCTCTCTCACTGTCCACTCTGCCTGTCAAAAAAAAAAATGTCTGTGATGTGAAAGGCCTGTATGTCAGCTCTTGGTGCTTGTGTTCAAAGAGTGGCCCTCGTAAGAGGTCACGTGCCTTTGAGGTGAGCCGGATATTAACACCAACAAGCAGTTCTTCACCAAGGATGTGTTAAGAACCTGAAAGATGCAAAGCATTGTCCCAGGCCCCTCTGCTTGCACACCAGGAGTTCCCAACCTTGCTCATTCAACAACAGCTGAATTTTCAGGGTAGTGATTTAGTTAGAGCGGTTAAGGGAGAGCTCTGTAAACCCAAACTGGTGCTCCAGTCCTGGACATAGCCATGAGGACAGTGTGATGTGCAGTACTCCACTGGGATATCAGCCTCTTCTGGAGTGCCTAGTACCTAAGAGATGCTCAACAAATGTGTGTTGCATGGAGGGACAGGGGAGTGGTGGTGACGCTGCTGACCAATGACCACATACATCTCCACTAGGAGGAGGTCCCCTCAGACCCATTGTTTATGTTCACATTAGAAAATGAGAGCCAAAGCGGCAAGAGGGTGTGGAAAGTTCAGGGAACTAAGGTTTAGGAAACCTGGACACCCTGGTTTTCACAAAAAACTCAGAGAAAAAGCTTCAGTAGGAATGGTGTTAGGGAAGCATCCAATGCCATTCCACTGCCTGCATTCCCACCCCAGCCTGCACTGACAGGGTCAGATCCAAACAACATTTCACATTCATTATCCCATTCTTATGTAATTCCCAGATTGTAAGCTTCATGAGGCTGGACACTGTCTTTAGGTTTGTTTCTGAAGGAATTTCAAAAATATCATAGGGAAATGGAATTGAAAGGTAAGTTTATTTGGTGCTAAATATTTTACACCAAAAACTCATATATGGCCAGCGCTGTGGCTCATTTGGCTAATCCTCTGCCTGCGGCGCCTGCATCCCATATGGGCGCCAAGTTCTGGTCCCGGTTGCTCTTCTTCCAGTCCAGCTCTCTGCTGTGGCCTGGGATAGTAGTAGAGGATGGTCCAAGTGCTTGGGCCCCTGCACCCACATGGGAGACCAGGAAGAAGCACCTGGCTCCTGGCTTTGGATTGGCGCAGCGCCGGCCATTTGAGTGAACCAACGGAAGAAAGACCTTTCTGTCTCTCTTTCTCTCATTGTCTATAACTCTACCTGTCAAATAAAAAATAAAAAATAAATAAATAAATAAATAAATAAAAATAAAAATAAAAAACTCATGCATAGATTTTTTTTCACATCAGACATTTTTTTCCATGAACTTTTCAAAATAACCTCATCCTATTTCTTTCTCACTGGCGTTAGTATCCCCAGCATCCACCACTGCAACTGGATTACCTGATAATTATCTGTTAAGTACATGGATTTATTCTTTATATGTGTTGCTTCTCAATTCCATGCAAACTTTTCCCTGGAGTCTGAAGTAACTTCCACTGCAAATGCAGCCACTTTGTAAAAGTAAAGTTGGATTTGACAAAGCTGATCAGAACTGAGAATGGTTGAGTTCTGTCCAGGGAGCTGGTGGGGACAGAAAAATATATGGCTGTTGAGGTGAAATAAAGAGATCTGGGTATAGAGAAGGATGGGGTGTCTGTCAGACCTCAGACTAACACTCATCTGAGCTCAGAGAGTGAACTTGAGGGCCTTGCTCCAGGGTGCAGTTGTGGGGAGAACAGGAATGAAAGAGTCGGCTAGAGGAACCAAGAGAGTTTGCAACCAGCCAGCTCTGGCCAAAGGACAGCTGGGAGAGAAGTTTGCACCTGACCTTGGGGTGGTTTAACCATAGCATGCCCCTGGAAGGAACTGGGCACCCTTCAGAATCAGAACTAAGAGAGGTCACTTGGGTAGCCAGAGAGTGAAACACAATCTGACATTTTTTATTCTGATCTGGGTAAAGTCGTACCAACCTGTGTGCCTTTAGATTGTCCAATATATAAACTATATATTCAGATTTTTTTAGCTCAAATCAGAAAAATGAAGCACTGTATTCTGAGGCTGATTCTTCATCAAGAAAGACTTTAGATCTTCAGTAGATCACAGTTCCAAGGTCTGATCTGAGAAAGAAAACTGACAAACTGAACAATGCAGCTAACATGTCGTGTCAATGCCCATAAAATGTGAGGGGAATCATAGGGTTATGTCTCGAGCATCCAGGCAGAAACTTGGGCCGTAAAATTTTTGAAACCCTTATGGTAAAAGTTGAAACATATGCCAAAAAATAAATTTAAGAGCTGATTTATTAAAGATGTAAATAAAAAAAAAAAACAAGGAGGGGGGAATAGTGAAGATTCTTGGGATACTACTAATGTTTGGTTCTTAATCTGGGTGTTGTTTATCATTGTGCCCTGGGGACAAAAAAAGTCACTTAGCTGTACACTTGTGTGCATTTCTTGGTATTGTATACTGTATTTCAACAATTTTGTTTTAAGTAAATGGCCTAACAGTGGGACCCAGAAATTTGACCTCTTGACATCTGCTATGGTTTGAATGTTTATATCCTTCCAAAATTTGTTTTGAAGCCTAATCCCCAATGTTTTAGCATCAGATGAGGCCGTTAGGACGTGATTAGGCCATGAAGGCTGAAGGACGAGTGCCTTATAGGGCTGCAGGGAGCTGCAGGCCACGTCCTGCTCTTCTGTGTTCTGCCATTTGGGAGCATTGCGTGTGCCCTCTCTGAGAAACGTCCTGGGAGCAGACACTGGGTCCTCACCAGACGCTAAACCTGCTGCCGACTCGATCTATGTTTTTCACTTTCATAACTGTGAGAAATAAATTTTTGCTTATAAATTGCCCAGTCTTAGGCATTTTGTTATAGAAGCACAAACTGACTACGACAGTATCTGTTCTAGAGAAATCCTTATAAACCCCCACAAGAGCTGTTGAGTAATGCAGCAGCATTTGAGGTTAGCAAGACGCAGGAGCTGCCATTTAGCCTAGTGGTTAAGCTCCCCATTTCTTGTGTTGGAATAAATGGGTTTGATTTCTGGTTTCAACTTCTGATTCCAACTTTCTACCAATGCAGGCCCCTGAGAGGAAGTAGTGATGTTTCTAACAGCATTCCTGTTACCCGCATAGGAGACCTGGACTGTTTTCCTGCCTTCTTGTCTGGTCCCAGCACAGTCCTAGCCACTACAAGCATTTGGAGAGTGAACTAGTGGATAGGAGTGTTTCTCTCTCTTCTCTCTCTCTTTCTCTCTCTCTCTCTTCTCTCCTCCCCTCTCCTCTCCTCTCCTCTCCCCCTCCCTCTGCCCTTCTCTCTTTATCTATGTATCTGACTTTCTGCCTGACAAATAAATAAGTATTTTTGTTTAAAAAGTTACTGACCCCCTTAACCTAGAGTTACTAAACGAATAAAAATAGACTAGCAATAAAGCTTAATGTAGATTATTTTTCCACCCTTGGGAACTAGTCAAATGCAGTAAGTTATACCTACATCATGACATATTCTATAGTAATTGGTGTTGTGGTTAAAAAGCCATTTAATATGCCCTCATCCCATATCAGAGTTCATGGGTTCAAATCCTATCTCTGCTCTTGATTCCAGCATCCTACTAACACACACTCTCAGAAGCAGCAGGTGATAGTTCACATAGCTTGAATTGCCAGCTGCAGCCTGGCCCAGCCCTGACTGTTGTGGGCATTTAGGGAGTGAACTAGTGGGTGAGATATTCTCTCTCTCTCTCTCTCTCTCTCTCTCTCTCTCTCTCTCTCCCTTAACCTTTCAAATAAGTTAACAAGCAATTCTGAAGTAGGTGTGTGTGTGTGTGTGCATGCA